AGAGAGAGAGAGAGAGAGAGAGAGAGAGAGAGAGAGAGAGAGAGAGAGAGAGAGAGAGAGAGAGAGAGAGGCTGAGAAATTGAAGACTTTGGCAAGGTTAGTAGAACAGCATATGAAAGGGGAAGGCTAGCTTGTTGCCTATCCTTTATTGGCCATTATAAATGATGGCAGGAGATGCTTGGGTATGGTTGGCACAGTTGGGTTCCTTCTCTTAGTTTGTACTAGGGATGTGTGATGTGGGACCGGCGAGATGCAGTCGAATGATTTCTTTTCCTGGAAGTCAGAGGACCCATGGAGATGTGGGTGTGTGTTGACAACCCATGTAGCAGCGTGCGTGTACAGGCTGGAGCCCTTCGAGGCTGATGTTGTGGTAAATGCATTGTGCAAGATCGGTGGAGCACGGACATACGGCCTCGCTCCACTACTCAGCATTCGATGTGTATCTCGACTACGCTGTTGATCAGATACATTCCGACTGACCCAGCATTTTTGCATGTAACCGGGTGATAACCGGCTGCTGATAACATTTAGAGTGTTGTGTAGTTGAGCGAGGCCCATGTATTCATCCCCAGTCGTGCAGTCATCTTGGCAGCCTTATTTTCTGCTCAGTCGGAAGCGCTGGCAAGGAAACAGCCGTCTCCTTCGAGAGTATGCTCTCTCGGTTAGTCGGAGCTGCGTCTCGCGGCCATCATGACTGCAACTTTTCTTTGTGGTCGGACTGGTGCTCTCTCGGCTGTGTCTTTTGGCGTCTGGTTTGCACTGTTGGGAGCGCTCACAAGGGAAAAGCTTTCTCCTCCGAAGTTATGCTCCCTCGAGGCTAGTCGGAGCTGCATTCTGCGGCCATCATGAGCGGAACTTTTCTTTCTGGTCGGATTGGTGCGCTCTCTCGGCTGTCCGATCGTCCCAAGGAAGGTTGGTTTCCTTGTCCATATCATAACTCGTGTTGTTCTGCCTCGCTTCCAGTTTGTGTCTTGCATTCGCACCTCGCATTGCCTCAGGTTGTTCTGTCCAGACTCCATACAGTAACTCTGAGGGTTGTCCATACCATAACTCTGAGGGCATGCACGGTTTGTGGCTTGTCATCATTCGCTCTCCGAGTTGCGTCCCATACGTGTTGATATAGTGTTGTTCAGTGTGTTTTCCTTCCTAGGAAAACGCTGCTCGGAAAAGAGACGGATGCATATTTATGATGCCAGTTTGCAGCACACGGCAGGCTGTCAACGGTGGCAGAAAGACTCCACGATGCCGGAAAAGAGAAAGAGAGTGCTTTCGCCCTCTTCATACTGCGCGGCGGGGTTGCCTGTAACGCATCTGTGTTGTTGCTCCACTACTAGCGGTGAGTCTTATAAAGCATCTCATTTTCCTCCCCCTCTTCTGTGTCCTGTTTTTAATGCTCTGGTTGTGGGTACGTGCATGTGTTTGTCTGTGTCTGGATCGACAGGCAGCATTGAGAGTTGTTCTCGTGTAAAACATTTGGCCACGCAGTGGCTGGCTATGTATGTAGCATGGTCATCTGCAGCAGGTGCCACACCGGTAGGGAGCTGTGTTCCGTTGCAACGGCGCCGAATACGAGGGGAAACCAGGCCACGCTGGTAGGGAGCTGTGCTGCGTTGCGGGGGTGCCGAGTTCGTGAAGTAGTGGTGATGGTAAGTAAGCCACACCGGAAGAGAGTTGTGTCGTGGTACAGGGTGCCGAGTATGTGAAGTAGTGATGGGAAGCCACGCCGGTAGGGAGCGGAGTTGTGTTGCGAGGGCGCCGAATTAAATCAAATGATTCAAATCTTTTTTATTATTTTATATGGGTTACTGCGGGCCCAGGATGATGTACCATGGCTGGGGAATGCCATACACAGTCTGTCTCGGACGATGTGCCATGGTGTCGGGAACCTTCGGCTTTCTCCCTCTTTGTTTCTCTGGGCCGCGCTAGCTTTTTAGTTAGTGTTTGAACCGTACGGAGGTCTTCTCTCCCTCTTCCTTACAGTTCAGTGCATTATAGCTTTTGATCAGTTTCAAAGCTAGGTGTGGGTCCCTAATTGTGTCTGTGGAGGCTGTAATCGCGGATAGGTGCTGGGAGGCACAATCTGGAATGGTGGGTAGTTGTCTCTGCTGATAGAACCACGGCGGTGACGACATGCAGTCCAGGTTGAGGGGATATGTCTTCATTCACACGGGTGGGCGTTTTTTTGCATGGCGATTCAGACCCCCCAACCACATGGATCTGGAGTTGGAAATCATGTCTGGCTCCTGTCTTGCACCTGCTCCACGGTCCCTTGCTTCGTTGCAGTCAGCTCTGCCTGACGATTGAGATCCCACGTTGTCCGTCCAGGTACAGATCATCACTGACTAGTCTCCACACACACATCCATGCGACCAGGTGCATTGCTGTTAGTAGCGGCGCAGGAACGGCGGGCTTCATAGCTTGCTCGGCCACGATGTAGGTGCTGTCGTGCTCGCTGAAAAAGTCGGATGCGATCGACAGTTGAAACCAACGCAGGTCGTTCTCCCTGGATATTCTCGCGTCGTTCGATGTTCGTCAGATGGCTCTGGAAGTGCGGATGGGCAAGCCCCCTATGTGGGCATCACCCCATTTTCGAATGGTTGGGCCTACGTGTTTTACTTATCCGCAATGGTCATGCACACTGCTAACTCCGCTCCGCTGTCACAGGCATGCGAGAAGATCAGCCCGCGCGCGGGTTAACCCTGGATGGGCCCGGCCGGGTTAACCCAAGATGTCGTCGCCTTTCTGTCTGCCGGATCGATCAGGTGAAGGTGGTCAGAAAAACGAGCTGGGTGTCAGAAATTGGGTTGGGTCACTTGGGTGTAAATCACAATTTCTGATGTGCTAGTGCGAGGTGCTCAGGGCCCGTGGTTCTGCTGCACAGCTAGAGCAACGTTTTTCGGAGTCGTCAGAATGGACAGTGTCGTTGGCTCACGGGGAAGATCCAGATCCTCTAGCACAGAATGACAGACACATGCACACTTGGGTCTTTTTGACCTGTTTCTGAACGTGATTGCAGTCAGATACATCCAGGTCCCGCTGTAAGGGCGGTTTGATACTTTTAAGATAGTGCTAGTGCGAGTACGCCCGCGACAGACGGGTATATAATGATATTGTTTTGCTTGAGAAATCTGAAAACATCATCGGGTAATAAAGTAGATATTTTTTAGCATCGGGTGAGCGAGCCTCGCACATAATTTCGTCACCTGACCGGAATTCTGTTCGCTGTGCATTTCTGCAGCTTTCATTTTTGCTGTATGTGCTGTTCGTTTCTTAAGGTCTTTCTGAGGGAGGAGTCTGGATTTTACGGTATTCGGTCATCGATCGGTATTTCTGAGTATTCCTGTTAAAAAGATTCATTTTTTTTCTTAAACTTTTCTAGAATGGTCAACGAACGATTGTTGTAAATATATTTTGGGGGCTGTCGTTCATTTGCGAGTGCGCAGTCAGGATTTTTTTTGTGCGCTCGCCTTCACCACCCGCTTATACTAGTTCAGGAGGGCTGCCGACATCGCAATGCATTAGGGGCCACCTGTTCGCTGGCCCTTACTTGCCACCCACTTGCTTTTTCTGGAGGGCTGCTGACATTGCAGCGCAGTCGAAATTTGTGCGCTGGCCTTTACCACCCACTTTCTAGTTCAGGAGGGCTGCAAGCTGACATTGCAGCAGAGTCGGATATACCACCCGCTTTCTAGTTCACGAGGGCTGCTGACATTGCAACAGACTAGGGATCTGTGCGCTGGCCTTTTCTTACCACCCGCTTATACTAGTTCAGGAGGGCTGCCGACATTGCAACGCAGTCGAAATTTGTGCGCTGGCCTTGATGACCCCCCCTTACGGACTAGTTCAGGATGGGGCCGACGCAGTTGCTGGCCCTTGCTCCTAGTATACTAACTACTTCAGGAGGGCTGATGACAGTGAGTGGATGGTTCTCTGAAAACACGTCGGAAAATGCATGTGAATGCACAGTTAGGATCTGGATGCACGTGGTCAGAAATGCAGTCATGTGCGTCGCACGTCATCCGGGACATCCGTTAAAACTGGAACTGTGCAGAGAAGATTCGCATGGCGTGCGTACATCGAGAAATGTTCCCAAAGAAAAACAAGGGAAAAAAAGGAGATCCGGATGCTGGCTTTTACTGGCGGCTGTTCAGGAGGGCGGGGAGAGAGTGTGGAGGCATCATCTGTCATTCTGCCGACATGGTCTGTTATTCTGCCGACATCGTCTGTCTTTCTGCCGACATCGTCTGTCTTTCTGCGTCGTTTGGCCAGAAAAACTGCACACACAGCATGCTTTTTCAAGGGGATCAAGGTTTTCCTCTTCGCTAAAGAAAAAAGAGTCAGCCACTTCATTTCCAAATGTGGCCGGCGCTTGAATCAAGCCAATGAACCCCAGAGTCCCTCCCTATAAACGGAGAATGCGGTAAATATGTCATGTTTTTTAGACTTCTAGATGCGTGTGGCGACGGGACGGCCCGTGGATGTTGGGACAAGGAACGTCTGCTAGCGGTGGATGTTGGGTAAGTCTTCCTGTATTCGCTGTGAGCCGAACGGTGGTTGTTTTGGGTTTCTTCTTCTCTCTCAAGTAAGCGGCATTTGTGTTACAACCCCTTCTTTCAATTCATTTCTAGATGTCCATATATATATATAATATAGGGTTCAGCCTCCTGATGAGTCGGTGAAACTCCGACGAAACAGTTTGTCACAGCCCCTCGTTTGTTGTCCTCTTCTCTCTCTCTGCCTACGGTTTACCGGGCAGTTCTATTTGTGACGATATATATAGTATTATATATTCGTTAAACGATATGACTTAGGTACACGTCTCCGCCTCTCTGCTTACGGTTCACCAGGCAGTTCTCCACGACGGTACACACGTTTTCCATCTCTCAAATTAATGATTAAATTAACAAATTCTATAAAAAAATAATAAAATTTTATATACATATCTATCTTTATATACTGTATACGATGATGATGATGATGATGATCTGAAGCGACCAGCCCTTTGCGTCGAGGCTTTTTGGTCGAACTTCTCTCCTTCTTATCTCTGTTTCACAGCCCTCCTGCTGCAAGTTTGTGCTGTGCGGTGTCGTATTCTCGAGTCTTTGGAGTCAACAATGGATTACCCATCAGCCTCACTTTAGGAAATGAGAGTTCTTTTTTCTTTCTTTTTTCCTTGGTTGTTTTGGTGGGGCCGATTTTTTTTGCATGTGTGCATAATACTGCATATACCATTCAGCAAGGGCAATATGACTTTTTTTTTTCTTTTTCTTTTCATAATGCGAGTTGCAGTTTTTTTTTTTTTTTTTTTTTCTTGTAAGGAAGGGATTCTATCATTCTAGCCTTCCACTTTGAGATATCAATATTTGGACCTATCGGTCGGCCCTCGTGGCAATTGCAGTATTCTAACTCGTCTGCGTCCTGTGCAGCTCGATCTCAGCTCGGTATTTCAATCGTTCCGTTCCGGGGTGTGGTACGGTCCACCGCGCCTTGGTAGATCGAATTATTTTCGTCTTGTGTTGTGCTGCTTTTCTCTCAAGGGGCTTGCTTTTTTACGGTGTCTGGTATGGTCCACCGCTCCTCTCTTCATGGTGCTCGCGCGCTGCCCTCTCCTCGCCCTTTTTTTTTTTACGTGCAACCCCTCGCCTTTCGGACTTTTCCGAACCATCCCCCCCCTCCCTCTTCCCAACTCCTCTGCCCAACTCCCTTTCCCTGCCATATGCGATTCCGCCAAATGCCCCACGAAAAAAAAAAAACGAAGCTATATGTGAGTTTTAGAAACATTTTTGTGGTGCCCCTGTTTGCCTGTTTGTCGCGGCTGTGAGTCTATTCATTTTTTTCCTCACTTTTTTTTTTTTTTTTTTTTTTTTGTTCTGTCCAATCGTATCTTCTTTCGTCGTCAGCAATTTCCCATAAAACAACTTGTGTTTGCAAGTCGTGCGAAGTCTTTGATGGTCGTAGATGTCCTTGTAATGGCCTGTTCTGACAGTGACCGCAGTGCAGTCCAGGGGCCAAGTCCCACTAGCAGCGTTGACGGTCGTAGAGATGTCCACACAGACCTAAGAAGACATGAGGTAGCTCAACGCTGCTAGTGGGACTTGGCACCTGGAGCGCACTGCGGTCGCTGTCATGTCTTCTTAGGTCTGTGTGGACATCTACGACCGTCAACGCCTGAATCTGGACGTGTTTGTGGAGACGTGCAGTTCAGGAAAGTCGACACCATTTCTGCACATCTCCGCAAAAGCGTCCAGATTCAGGCGTTGAGGAAGCTCAACGCTGCTAGTGGGACTTGGCCCCAGATGTGTGGTTCTATAACTAGCGTCTTTTACTTAAACCGCCACTCTATCCGACACCCAGAAAATGGCATTCTGGCGAGCTAGGAGCGGGGTTTCAAGGGGGGGCGCCGACCGGCAGGTGCAGGCGGGTCCAGTCCCGCAATTTGCAAGCGCCAACTTTGGTGATTTTTTGTGCTCAGAAGAATTGAAGGAAAAAAGTTAAAAAAAAAAACTGAAAAATTGAGATCCCGTAGATTAGGTCGTGCGATCTTTCCAGGGAAAAATTCAGAAAAATGAAAAATAGAAAAGGAAATCATTTTGACCATAAAATAAATGTCATGCCAATTTGTCACACACATTTGCCGTTTTTGCCGCTCTACAACGTGTGGGCCAACGGAAAAAGTACCCTGACTTCTGTGATTTTTTGCGCTCAGTAGACTGCCTTTAAAAGTCTGAAACGTGGAGGGTCTGTAGACTTGGTGGTGATCTCTGCAGAAAAAATATATATATTTAAAAGAATTAAAAAAAAAAAATTGACCGTGAAATAAATGCCGCCCCGATTCGTCTTATCAACAGTTACTTTCCAGTTTTTCCACTCTAGGACTTGGGGGCCAATGGGAAGAGTACTCTACCCCAATTTTCAGCGGTTTTTCACGCTCAGAACAATATGGGGGGTCTGCAGATTTGGTCGTGGTCTTTCCAGGAAAATATGTTTACAAAATTATTTTAAAAAATCGCTTCAACCACAGAATAAGTTGTGGCGGCAATTCGTCGCAATTTCCGTTTTCGCCACTCTGCCAGTTTTCTGCACACTGTGCTACGGGTAGCGCTCGTGGGCATGTGCGGTCGGTCCCCCCAAATTTTCAACGTGGGGTAGAGTGGTGGTTTAAGCAATGCTGTTTTTACTTTAGCCGTTCTTGCTTTTCAAAAGGTGCGCAGCGCCCTGGTTTACTTGGGACACAACACATCGCGAGAGACGGAGAACTCGCGGTGGTGGGGGCACAGGAAGAGCACAACCTTGGTCACATTTTGCATACCTGTACACACATATAGCATGAACGTCATCTCTCTCTCTCTCTCTCTCTCTCTCTCTCTCTATCTATCTATCTATCTATCTATCTATCTATCTATCTATCTCTTGCGTGCGTGCGCATGTACACAGTGGTTTGCGGTGCCCCTCTGTCATTTGCCGGGCGGCGCTGTGTGACACACTGTGAGACTGCTAGGTGACACCCTTTGTGGGCCGGGTGGTGCAATGTGGCATGGGTGATACTGTGCGAGTTTAGGGGCCACCATGTGAACTGGGTGGTCTGGATGTGGGGTACTATGGGGGTTGGGTCCGACAATGTGTGGACTGGTTTGTACTGTGTGGGCTGGGTGGCGCAACGCAGGGCAGGCAGGTCGTGCTGCGTGGGAAAGGTGGTTCAAATCTGGGCTATGCGTGTGATGGCATGTGGGCGGGACAGAGGTGCGGGATCCTTCCACCCCCACCCTCCCCTCACACTCCTCCGATGCTCCCCAAAGGAGGGATCACGGAAGAGAACTTGTACCCAAGAGAGAGCACTAATGCACTTGTATGCGTTGAAAGGGCTTTTCCCTTTTCTCCGTCTCTCAGACTCTTCTCTCTCTCTCTCTGTTTTTGTTTTCGTTTTTTTTCCTCCTTTAATAAAAAAGCAAAGTAGCCCCTTGCACAGGACTTCACCACAATTTGAGCGTATGACCTGTGCACCGTTTTTTGTCCACATGCCGCAGGCCGTTCTGATCAGTTGACGAGAGTCCGAGGGCTGTTCCGAATGCACTTTGGACGTTATTGCGGCCAGATACATCCAGGACACGGCTCAATTGCGCTCAGAATCAGTCAGATGCTCCGCATTCCAAGATGGAAAAAATCGCCGTCCTGTGTGAGCATGCCCTTAAGATCGTCGGCGTCGTTTTGGAAAGAAAAAAAAAAAAGAAGCAAGCAAAGATCTTCTGACCTGGCAGATATTTCTGCTAATTTCCAGCAGATTCTGTATAAAAAAAAAATAAAAAATGATCTGAGGTTGCCACGGTACACAAGTCAACCGACAAAAACAAAAAAAAAGAAGAAATTTGAGTATCTCTGCCGCAGTTTGCATCGGCTGGACTTCAAGAAGACGAACAATTACTTTGTCCTCAATCTTCTTCTTCTTGTTTTTTTTCCTTTTCTTTTCTTTTCTATTCTTTTCTTCTTTTTTATTTTGTGGAGAATTCCTCAATCTTCTTCTTGTTTTTTTCCAATCCTTGTATTGGCTTACAGTTTCTGTTTGTCCACAACCCTAACTTTATTTTATTCCTTCCTGACCCTGTGTTAAGTGACTTCTTGCATTTATAATTTGATCAGACCGGTCTGATCAAATTATAAATGCAAGAAGTCAGCACTACCTTGAATGTATGTGACCGCATTTCCGGCCCAACATGTCTGCATCTGGCCGCAATTCCGTCCGGAAATGAGTAAAACAATGGGAGCGTGAGTATGCCCTTAGTTTTACGCTCCGGAATCTAGACTTCTCTCAGGCTTCAGATCGTCTTCATCTTCCTCCACCCCCCYCCCCCCCCTYYTYCCCCCCCCCCTCAAAAAAAAAAATAAAAAAAAATCTTGTGGTGATTACACTAGAGCAATGAGCTCCTACCTCTGCTTCATGCAGTCCTTTCTGAAAGTAGTTTCATTTCCAGTTTTGATTACTGCTTACTTTTGAGTCTGCTCCATCTGGGACCGAGTCCCATGTGCGTGATCGAGTCAGGTGTCAACGACGACTTTTCGTTGATCTCAACCACTTGCGAGACCGAGCGACGCGCCACGTTGGTGGTGGTCCAAGTCGTGGTTAAGGAAAATCAACGAAGTGTTTCATGCAGGCGTCTTTTGGGAAAAATCTAGCAGGCGTGTTTTGGGAAAGTTAAGGAAAATCACAACGGAGTGTGTTTCGTGAAGGTCTGTATTGGTTTTCCATGAAATGAATATGTACGGTAGAAGAAAATGAAAGGCGAGGAGGGTGACCACCAATCTGTCTGTTGAGCTAGCTGCCCCACCGCTACTTCGAGCGGGGCAGCTATGAGGTCGACGGTAATGGTTTGCAGGACGGTGCAAAGGTCGAGGCAGCGAACGGACGTAACTGGCTGCGTGCTTTCAGGCACTCGGCACGGCGTGACGTTCACAACCCGATGGCCAGCAGGCCGTTATCTCCGTTTGGTGGCTTCTTGGCAGACTAAAGAAGGAGGAGAAAATTACCTTGCTTCAAGTTTTTAACGAAAGAACGCAGTATTTTTTACGCGCATCTGTCCAGTATATCCACTTTATTATGTATTCTTCTCTGAATTTCACCTTTCAGTATGTACCTACAACTGCTCCCAAGCCATTACAGGGGACCCCTGCAAGCATAGCTACTTCTCACAATTAAGGAGATGAATGTTGCCCGCCGCCCTAATCGGCGGTGGTCAGGGGGTAGGGTGGGGCCGCTGTATCCGCATTCACGTGCAAGAGAAAAGTAGAAAGAAAGATGAAAGGCGTAAAGAACTGTATTCAGTGATTGGCCGTGAAGTTTTTTTAGTGTTTTGCAGTGTCGCACTGTCAAGCTAGCTCTAACTACGGCGCATGTGGGGCTTGGCCCCCGTTCCCTTCTTTCGGGAACCGA